GAGATGCACCTAGAACCCCTATTTCTCAAGAAATTTTAAGGGTTTTGGGAGTTCTGTGCCAGAAACTTGCGACAAAGACCAAATATACATTTCTTATATCACAATATCATAGAGGGCCAGATCATGCAGAGAGGTCACATTAATTAATTAATTAATTAATCCAATAGATATGGATTAAGCACTTACTATGTGTTGGGAAATATTCTGTGTACTAGACAAAGAGGACTGAACAAGAAAAGTCCATCCTCTCATGAAGCTTACATTCTAGTGGTAGGAAACAGACACTACATACAAATGAATGAATGAATGAATGAATGAATGAATGAATGAATTCAGCTCATGAAAGTACTTAGGAGAAAATAAATCATCAGGACAGAACAGAGAGTGACTTGAGGGGAGGGCGCTACTTTCTATGAGTGGTCAGGAAAAGCGTGAATGAGGAGAAGGAGCCAGACATGTGAAGACCACAGAGAAGAACATTGTGGGCAGAGGCAATGGCAGGTGCAAAGGTCCTAATGAAAGAACAGACTTGGAGTGTTCAAGAGATAGAGTTAAGGAGTTGCTATTTTATTCTAAGTGGGAGCCATTGCAAGGTCTTAGCAGGAAAGCAACAGGATCTGATTTAAGTTTCTCAAAGTGTACTCTGGCTGCTATGTGGAGAATGGATTGCAGAGGCAAGAGAATTAGGAAGGAAGGCAGGTAGGAGGCTCTTCTGGGGACAAGTGGGAGTTGACGGTGGTTAGGAGGTGAAGGAGATGGAGCAGGAGGCAGGATGTCTAGTAGGTCCTGATCATTGAGGGTGAGGAAAGGGAAGGATCAAGGACACTTCCTAGGTGACTTGAGGACGCAGGTATGTGGTGATGCCTTTTACTGCTAAGGGGAAGAACAGGGTGGGATGTGGGAAGGAGCAGTTAACAAACATTAATTGAAGGCTCCCTGTGTGCTTGGCACTGAGGGACACATAGAGAGGTGTGGGGAGAGGCCCTGCTCTGCCTGGCTGTGGACAGTCCAGCTACAGAGATGAGATGCTCGCATGAAGCAAGAGAGAACGGTGTGATACCAACCATCAAGATGCAGTCCCATAAGATCTGGCTGCTGTCCTCCCACCTACAAAGCCCTCTCACACATTATCTATTTGATCCACATCATTACCAAATAAGATAGGTAGTATTATCCCCATTTTACAGATGAGAAAACTGAGGCTTGGAGAAACTGTGACTAGCCCCAGCTCAGCCAGCCAGGTTGGATGCAAATCAGCAGAGGCTTTAGAATTTTTATACAGGCATCTGCTGTGCAGTAGGGTGGGATGGGGACTTGCTTTGAAGCCTCATTTTATATCAAGCGCACTGGCTTTACTTGGTTTAGGGTTTGGCAGTGGCTGAGAGAGGGGTGGGAGAAGCCAATGGGGCTGGAAAGGAGGGTATAAAACTTATGAAAGTAATTTATTGGGGATATCCATTGAGGTACACCCAGTTCTGTCTATCTCCAAGCCAGGGTTCTTTCTTATTCTGGATTTAAGGAGTTGTTCCAAGATAGCAGAAGGTAGTATGAACATCATTGACTGGGGAAGAGGCAAGGCTTAACTCAGAGTGATCTCTGTAGGACTTGAGGGCCAGGGAGGGCAGCCCTAGGAGGGACATGATTCAGAAGCAAAGGCATGGTGGGCTGTTAATTGAAGTTTGCTGAAGGCATCAGAGACCTCTCAGTCCTACACATGGGCAATCTGTACTGGTGGTTGGGACCTGTCTACTTAGGTGGGCACTCTGGGTCAGTCACTGGGGACAGCTCCTCCCCAGCTTTGGTGGGCATGGGCCTGCCTTCTGCTCCCAGGTCTCAGCCTCCCGGCAGGGACTTATTCCTTGAAATCTTGCAGTTCAGGTCTGGCCATCAGGTGGGCCCAGGATGTGACCTACCTAGCCTGAGACATACTGTGAAATAAATCCAGGCTGGCAAGGCATTGTACCCCTCTCCTCTCCCTCCAGCCAAGTCCAGTGCCCTTTTACCCAGAGCCCCTCAGCAGAGATCACCCCCACCTGCTTACCTCAACCAGTGGCTCTCAACCTACAGGACACAGAACTTTTAATGATGTCCCACTGTCCCTACATGTATCGTGGGCCGTTTCCTCACTGAGAGGCTCCATCAGTGAGCATCTGGTGTGTTTGTTATAACTTCCTTCCCTTTCTCTCTTTGTCCGGCAACCTGCTTGTTCTCAAAGCTCTGTTCAAGCATCACTCCGCTGCCTTTCCCACCCCGCCCTGGCTGGTGTTTCTCCCTGAGCTCCTCTGCTCCCTGTGCCCTGCTTCATTTACCATGTGTCATTTCTGCTGTATGTGGTGTGAGGGACCCAACTTTGATTCTTTCCAGATTGGTAGACAATTAAGTCATTGGCATTTATAAAAAGTCTTTTTCTTATTCATTTGAACTGCTACCTTCATTGCATACGCCCTCTCCATATATGCTCAGACCTACCTCTGTTTGTCAGTCGTGGTGGCAATTCCATGCTATTTTAATCCCAATGGAATTATAATAAGTTTTGTATAGTGTGTCACCATCATTACTGGTTTTTTATTTTTATTTTTAGTTGATAAAAATTGACATTTGTTATGATATTGTTTTCCCATGCAAGAACATGTTCAGATCCTATTGCAAATTTATATCCCATGGGTAAGTTTTACAGATTCTACTATTAAACTTATTATTGTTATTAAATTTATTTATAAATATTTTATAGATTTTGACACTTCTGTGAATCAGACATTTCCTTCACTTCTATTTCTAATTGGTTATTACTAATATAGAGAAAAGCTATTCATTTTGTATGTTTACCTTAAATCCAGCCATATTACCAAACTCTATTATTATTTTTGATCTGTTTTTCTAGAAAACCTAAAGACGATGGGGAATGGGACAGTGTTTGGAAAAACTCAGAACCTGGGCACTGCAGTGCAGGTCCTCCTGGGGACATGAGGCACAGTGAGAAATGCACCAAGTGGACAGGTCAGTTGTGTATATGGAGGTGGGGGTGAGATAAGGAGGCCTCTAACTCTCCAGAGAGGCCTCTCCTCCCCGAGGCTCAGGGCCTCCCAGTCCTCACTCCTGCATCCCACTCTCACTCTCCCACCACCAAGGAGCTCAGGCAACTCTGCACATCTCAGGTGACCCTGAACAGGCTCCTTTGCAGGATTCCTGAGAGAAAGGGCTGAACACAAAGGAAACAGAAGCCATGACTGCAGCAGGGAAAGGGAGGACTCAGGGCTGGTCTATCTGGGTGCTGAGGTCCAACCCTCTCAGGGGCCTCAAAGAGGTTACTGGAGCCCTCTGACACCCCCAGGCCAGGCAGAACTGGCAGCACTTGGCAGAACTGGGAATAATGGCAGCCACCATGGAGTGCGTTCCCAACAGTCCTCTGAGGATTCCTCTTTACAGATGAAGAAACTGGAGTTCAGGGAAATTAAGGAACTCATTTGAGTTTACACAGATAGTAAATGGCAGAGGTGGAATTCAAACCCAGGAACCTGACTACAGAGCCTGCCACACGCAGTATTCCCACGTGGCCATCCAGGCCATTCATGTTAAGCACACGGGCCAAAGACAGGATCCCCTAGAAACTGCAGAGCTTTCTCAGGGACCCTGGAGTTCATGCATGCACCAGACATTGTCTGCAGACATTACACAAATATGTCCCCACTTGGGTCCTGTAGTGAATTGAATGGTGACCGCCTCCCCGCCCCCCCACCACCCAGCTCCGCAAAGGATAACATCACTTGGAATCTCAGAACGTGACTGTGTTTGGAATAGGGATCTTTGCAAATGTAATGAAGGTAAAGATCTCAAGATGACATCATCTTGGATTAGAATGTCCTTCTGAGAGACAGAAAGGAGGAGACATACAGAGACACAGAGAGGGAGGGCATGTAAAATGGAGGCAGGCAGAGACTGGAGTGATGCCGTTGCACACCCAAAACACCAGGGGCCATCAGAAGCTGGAAGCTGCCAGAAAGGATTCCCCCCTGGAGCCTTTGGAGGAAGTATGGTCCTGCCAGCACCTTGTTTCCAGGCTTCAGGCCTCCAGAACTGTGAGAGAATAAACTTCTGTTGTTTCAAACCACCTGGTTGGTGGCCATTTGTTACAGTAGCTCTGGGAAACCGATACAAATGTCCACCATTCTTTTTTTTTTTTCTTTCTTTCTTTCTTTGAGACAGAGTTTCACTCTTGTTGCCCAGGCTGGAGTGCAATGGTGCGATCTCAGCTCACTGCAACCTCCGCCTCCGGGGTTCAAGCGATTCTCCTACCTCAGACCTCCCGAGTAGCTGGGATTACAGGTATGTGCCACCTCGCCTGGTTAATTTTATATTTTTAGTAGAGATGGGGTTTCTCCATGTTGGTCAGGCTGGTCTCAAATTCCTGACCTCAGGTGATCTGCCCACCTCAGCCTCCCAGAGTGCTGGGATTACAGGTGTGAGCCACCATGCCTGGCCTGAATGTCCACCGTTATTATTCTTCATAAGAAACGTAGGCATTTCAAGCTATTACCAAACTCATAGCCACTATTTATCATTGTCTATTTTTCTCCATCAATGGATATGAAAATATTACTATCATGAAAAATAAATTATATTTGCAACCCCATTATCTTCCAGATGGAGAAGCAGTTTGAGAGAGGGCAGCAGAGAAGCAAGAGAGCTGGTCTGGAACCCAGCTGCCTGACTCGTGAGTCATTTCTCTTCCTCCAAAGCCCTGTTAAGTCTGGGGCTGCTTATGGTCCTCACCACCTACACAAACAAAGTCAGGGTCATGTTCATCCATCAGGAGGTTCAGGGCCATTTTCTGCTTTCCTCTGTTTGGCAACACTAAGAGCCACCCTCTGATTGTTCCAGAAAAGCAAGAATTGCTAAAGGCCATTGTGTCAAGTTTGCCCAATTCATGCTACTTGACATCTTACCCTGCCCCACCCTGCTCCCACTCCTCCTCCCGCTAGTGCCCCTGATTGCAACACTCCTGGCTGGGGTGGGACAGGGTGGCCAGATAAAAGCAAAGCAGGACCTGGAATGCTGGTTTGTATGGGCTGAGTCTGCCGCTGAGCTGCATCATGGTGCGGTCTGTGGTCTGGGCAGGTGAGCTGTCAGGGATAGTGAGCTGGGTCTCGGGAGCTGTGGGGAAGTGGGGATGTGCATGTCCAGGGACCCCTTGCTACCCTTTGCAAGGAAGCAGGGGGACTCAGGAGAACTTCAGAGGGTCATTTTATCCCTCTCCATGCCTCCTGGCTTGCAGACCCTTAATTACCTTTCCTGTGGGCTCCCCCTTAGGCTCTTTCAACCCAAGACACTTCATGTTGCAAGGGAAGGCTTTTCTCAACAGGCTGAGGATGACTTGACTTTCCTCTTTCTGTCCTGAAAGCCCAGAGTCAATGAGGCCCCTGCACTGGGTCTTTGTGTCTTTCCCATGTTCTTACGTCCCTCCTGTTGGCCTTATCCAAGAAGCACCCACTGCGAAGAGCCTCTTCTCTAACCTCGTATTGGCTGTCCTGCAAGAAGGCAGCCTGGGGCCAGGACCCTGGGCATCCTTGCAAATTTTCATGCAAGTTCTATTAGGTTGACAGAGAAGTCCAAGGTCACCAGGTGAAAGAGATCTCTTTGAAGGAGTCCTGTCAAGGCCTAGGTCTCCACGGCTGCGGATGCCTGCTACAGCCAGGTGGCGGAGAGGCAGCAGGAAGCGTAAACGATGGGAGCAGAGGCACAGGCCCTCCCCAGGAGGCGATCTCTCCCTGTGCAGCCCTTCCAGATTGGTTCTTTCTAGCCCCAGAACAGGTTTTCTTCTTGTTCCGAAAGAGAAGCAGTCTCTCTGAATAACTCACAAGTCAGCGGTTTTTCCACAGGCTTCCTGAATCCACACTGCCCTTTACTGAGGCATAGAGAGGGGGCAGCCTCAGCCCAGGGAGCCATCCCAGGCCAGAAAGGGACCCCCATGGTCTGGCCTGCATGAAGGGATGGGCACAGTGCCCTCCTGGGTCCCTTCTGGAAGGAGAAAGCTTGATTCGTATGAAACCAGCCCTCCCTGACCACCTCCTGTGCTTCCGTAGCTGTGGGGCTGGGAAGGTGAGAATGGCGGCGTAACCCTGGCCTTCTCTCTTGTGTTGCTCCAGGTTTCATGGTCCTGCTGATGATCCCATGGGGTAAGTGGCCTCTTTCTTGGAGCTAGCTCTTGAATCCCTTAGCCCCTTCCCTGGGCTTTGCTTCATGTCCCAACACACTTTCCCTGCCACACCTCCCCAAGAGCTCCAGATTTCAGTAGTGACTCTCTTCCAAAGCTCAGACCCTGCAAATATCCCCATCCCCTAGCAGCCCTCCCAGGAAGGCCCTTGCCTCCTTATCCGCTAGCTGAGCTCCTGCACATGTGTGGGGCCAGCTTGCACATCAGCTCTCTCAGGTCTTTCCTTTCCTGGGGTCGCTGGCTCCCTCCTCTGCACTCTGTGCTCTTGCAGCACCTGTGTGTTTTACAGCGCATTTTGCACTGCCTCTCATTATTGGCTCAGATGTGTCTCTGCACCAGACTCCAAGTTGCTGGGGATAAGGAACCTTAGTCTCATCTGGCTCAGCATCCCCAGCCCCTTAGCTCCACGAGGATAACACACTGCTTCCGATCTGTTGAACCGATCAGATGTAGAGCTTGAGAGAGGCAGGAGGGAGCTCCTTGTTGTGTCAAATGGAAAAGAGACCTTGGGGCACCTTCAGCAACTCGGACTCCTGGTCCCCCTCTTGCCCCACCTCATTCCCTGGGCATCAGTGGCCTGGGAATGCTGGCCTCTCAGACCTTGTCCTGTGACTGTGCCTCTCACATTTGGCTGTGGCGTTGGACGTACATTTCCCTCTCAGTCTCATAGGAGGGAACAGCCGCGGATACAGGTACAGCAAACATGGGGAAGATGAGAGGTGGAAGATTTCTCAAAAAGCTTTAGTCCAGGCTACTTCTGGGCTTTCTGCAGTATAGTAATAATAGTAGGACTTTGTGTGAACTAAGGGTTAATACACACAAAACACCTAGAACAGAACTTCTTCCATGCAGTGTTCCTCCGAGTGTTTTACATGTATTAACTTTAGCCCACACGGGGGTCGTGTGACACACATTATGGGAGGTCCAATGGCCTCCCTGTTTCACACAGCAGGAAGCTGAGTCACACAGTGAGTAAGTTGCAAAGTTGGGATTTCAACCCAGACACTGACATGCCAGAGTCCCTGCTGTTAACCACTGCACTTTATTTTCTCCATAGTACAGAAATTCATAACAATATTTGATATGCGACAGCATGACATGACAGAAAAAGAGCTTCCTGGCTCCTTCCTACGTGGCCTGGGGGATGAGTTCTCTGGGTTCATCCCCTCCTTCCTCTCTTTTGCTTTGGGCAGTTCAGCAATTCTCCTGTATCACTGCAGGCTACACCCCAGCCCCACCAGCACGCTGCACTCCGGGGTGCCCCCTGGTTAGAAACAGTGACAACTCCAGAGCCACATGTATGCCCAGGGTCAGCCCTCTATGCTCTTGGGTTCTAGTTGAGGCCTGTCTGAGCGCTCTCTTCCCGAAACTCTCCTATAGACACTTTACACCCTTCCTCTTCCTCGCCCCCTCCCTGTCCATGTGGGCATTGGAGGGGGTACAGAGAGACCCTGCTGGGGCAAAGGGAAGTCCCAGGTTCTAGACACCAGCCACAGACACGATCCAGTCCAAACTCACCGCTCCATCAAGATCTTGGCATAAAATGTTGGCTCACACGAACCACACCATCATAGATTGAGAGACTGGAAGAGACCCCAGAGACCACACAGTCATTATCAGATGGGGCCAGGATTGGAAAAGAGTTGGACCCAAAGTCTATTTTTGGCAGATGCTGGAATGAAGACTAGCATTCTTGCTTCCTGATATCCTGGTCAACCCTGCACAGGGCTGACCTCAGTGGGGGTCATCACCACCAGGCCCTCACTGGGAACAGACCATCCTACCCCCTGCAAAGTCTTTTCACACACTGTAGGGTACTCTAGAGGCAAGTACCCTATAGTGTGTGGGGTACTGAGAGACAAGATGCCTTCTCCTAGATAAAATTAGCTCTTTATTAGAATCTCAGCAGTGATATTGATAAACATAGATTATCTACAAGGGATAACAGGCAAATGCAAATGGCTTTAATGCAAGACTAAAGAAACATAAACCCAGGCCTGTAACCCGGGCCTCCTCTCTGCTACTTATCGGTTTGCATTTTAATGAAGTATTCTGAGGTATTCCAAACCGTTTTGGAAAGTTCTGCCTGCCTTCCTTCTGCAGATGAGCATGCCATGTCTAATTCCCTCTGGGCCTCATGCTGGGGCTGCCTGGGGCTACCTTCTTTCAGGTTTCGGGGCCTGGAGGGGAGACCCTAACTGGGGGCAGGGAGACCCTAACTGGGGGTAGGGAGACCTGCCTGCCAGACCCTAGTCCTGGGAGCTCAGACTCTGAGACTAGCAACTTTTAAGGATGTCAAGGAGTCAAGAGGCTTGGATCGCAGCATGGCTGCTCTGCCCTCTTAGCAGCTGTGCTGATGAGGACGGGCCCCAAGCTCGTGAGCCTCAACTTGCTTCCCGGGAAAACAAGTCTTGGAAGATGATGGCCCTGCCCACTCAGTGTTCTGAGGATCCCATGTCTGGCCTCTGAAAATGTTTTCCCAACTGCAAGGCTCCACCCACACAAAAGCAAATGCCATTTCTGCCTATCGCGTCCCTCCACTGACTCTAGGTGTAGAAGAGGGAGGTCCAAGGACATTGCCTGCCCCAGACAGAGGGTCACAAGTCCCCAGAAGGCCCTGCTGACAGCTATCTCTTTTCTTTACTCCAACGGGCCAGGTTCTGCTGCAAAACTGGTCTGCTACTTCACCAACTGGGCCCAGTACAGACAGGGGGAGGCTCGCTTCCTGCCCAAGGATGTGGACCCCAGCCTTTGCACCCACCTCATCTACGCCTTCGCTGGCATGACCAACCACCAGCTGAGCACCATTGAGTGGAATGACGAGACTCTCTACCAGGAGTTCAATGGCCGGAAGAAGATGTGAGCCAAAGCAGAGGAGCAGGGTGGGTGGGGTGTGGTGGGGGGACAGACAACCTCCTCCCAGAGCCAGGCACCTCCCCAGAACCAAGGACCTGCCACAGACCCACTGTGTGGCTTTGGGCAAGTTGTATGACCTCTCTGGGCTCTCCTGTGCTTAATGAAAGAGGTAGGGGTTGCTTAGGGGATCCCAAAGGGCCCTTCCAGTTTAGGTCTAAGTGGGATCGGGATTGTGAGACTTTCTGTCTCCCGTGAAGGCACTTCCTCATTGTGAAATTGATCCACCCTTCAGCCCCAGTGTTCTGGGTGCCTTCACAAAGCCTCTTGAGAATCTGCCCCAATCCTTGCTTCCTGAGCCCACGCAGCAGTGTCTCCCCGGTTGGACAGGTGGTTCTGGGAGTCAGGAACGTGACTTCCCTTTCCCAATCTACAGCTGTCCCCGGAATGCTAGTACAGGCTCTGTGCATAGACACTTTGACACGTCCTCATCCTTGTTGCTCCTCCCCATGGTAACATCCCTGCCAGGGAACCCTGAGAGCTGGCAGAGTAAATCCTGCTGTGTCTCCTGTCTTTCCCAGGAATCCCAAGCTGAAGACCCTGTTAGCCATCGGAGGCTGGAATTTCGGCACTCAGAGGTTAGTTGACTGTGGTCACCTGTGTGGTAAAGTTCCTGGATGAGAACCTGGTGCACTGGCCAGAGGGAGCCCTGGTCAGAGGGAGCGCGGGTCAGGGAATCGGGCCAGGCTGAGGTGTGGTCAGGGGAAAGGAGAGGGGAGCTGAACTCTGGGGGCTGCATTTCTTTCTGGGTTCTTGGCACCCCAGCAGGAGGGCAGCACAGTGAGCTTCGTTCCAGGCTGCTTCAGATCCAGTCTTCACAGAAGCACAGGTCTAAACACAGCAGACGGCTCAGACCTCTCCAGGCATCAGTCTCTTCTTCCATGAAATGAGAAGAGGGAGAGTCCCAACTAATCCTGACAACATGCAGTGTCTACGTTTTCTGAGCTCAGAAATAGGTTATCTTGTCCCAGAGAGAATGTTTATTCCACTTCTGAGTATAAAAGGTAATCTGTGAGATTGAGCCTGGGTGCCAAAGTATTGGCATTTGGGGGACATTTTTTAATGATTTATGGAGATAATGGAATGGAGTATTTGAAACTTGGTGTTTTCTAGAAAATCCAGAATATATGGCTCCCAAAGCTCTAAACAGTCTTTCTAAAACTATTTTGGATCATGAACCCTTTTGGGAATCTGATGAAAGTTATGACTCATCTTCCAAAATAATGCTTATATACAGATTGTTTATTGAAATGCAGGAGTTTTTAGCCTGGTGTCCCCAGACTAAATTAATAAAAATAAAATAGGATCAATCTGTAAAGGACTTGAGACCCCCAAGAAGTTCAGGGACTTCCCACTAAGGAAGGCAGATGTGGAGAGGTGGTTCTTGAGGCAGCGTGGGGATTTTGACGAGCTCCAGACTAGTAATAGTAATAAAAACACAAAGCACTCTACAGGTGTGAGCTAGAGGAAAGATGACCAGGTTAACCTGCCAGAAAACTAAAACAGTGGGCTCTCCGGGTCTTTACTAACCTTAGTAAAGGAATTAGAGAAATTCTCATTAGAGAAAAATCCTAATTAGAGAAAAATTAGTTTCTCTAATTCCTCTTCTTTTTAAACCTTCATTCCGAGGGTGTCAACTAGCTCTGATTCGGGATGGGACAATTCAGGGGCTTGGAGGGAGCCTCTGGAGGGAATTTTGGGAAAGGCTTCTAGGGCATCCATGAGCCCCTGGTGGTGTTGATGTTCGGGGGTAGAAAGCGCTCTGGATGGTCCCCTTTCCTCAACCCAGACCATAACTCACCAGCAAATATCCCTGCAGCCTCTGAAGAAGCCCTCCCAGCGCCCCTCCCGGCCCAGACACAGAGACGCACTATCCTGAGTGTTTTCTCGCCTGTCTCTGAGTGAGAGCGGCCTCCTGTTTGGTCCAAGGCAGGCCCTTACTCCCCTTCATCACCTCACAGGTTCACAGATATGGTAGCCACGGCCAACAACCGTCAGACCTTCGTCAACTCAGCCATCAGGTTTCTGCGCAAATACGGCTTTGATGGCCTTGACCTTGACTGGGAGTACCCAGGAAGCCGGGGGAGCCCTGCCATAGACAAGGAACGCTTCACAGCCCTGGTGCAGGTACCGCTGGGTGGGGCGGGGATCACCCTGTCTGCACAGGGACCCAGCGCTGGAGCCCCCACAGCACATATGAGGGTTGCTCTGCCCCCAGAGCCAGCTGCTTCACGTATCTACGTGGCACAGATCAGCCCTGTGGTCAGCTCTCAGACTTCTACCAGTGAACATCTACCTGGGGCTCACAGGGGCTGCCTGCCTGGTGCGTGCCCCTGTGTTGACTCTGAGCTCCACTCCCACAGGACTTGGCCAACGCCTTCCAGCAGGAAGCCCAGACCTCAGGGAAGGAACGCCTCCTTCTGAGTGCAGCGGTTCCAGCTGGGCGGACCTATGTGGATGCTGGATACGAGGTGGACAAAATCGCCAGGTGAGTCTCAGGCAGATGGCTTGGAACTGTGCTCTCAGAAGGAGGAGAGGCCAAGGGTGGACTGAGCTTTCCCAGGGGTAGAGCGGGTGTTCACCTACAAGGCATTTGGAAAGTCCCATCCTTACACCAAAACAAAAGCAGACAATTCCCTGATTTTGTACTCAGGGTAAAACTAAGACACATCCAGAAAGGCTTTGCTCAGTGTCTGCTGCTGCCCTGTTCCAGATCCTTCATTTTGGATCTCTGCCCTCTTCCTTGGGAACTCATTCTTAAGGTGAAAATGCCCCTGAGCGGGTAGGGAAGCCATTGTCTTCCAGAAAATGCGTTTTCTGGATCCTTGCTCCTCAAAGTACAGCATGTGGACTCGCAGCCCCCACAACAACCAGGTGCTCGTTAGAATTATGGACTGTCAGGCCCCACCTCGGGCCTTCTGAAGAAGAACCTTCATTTTAATGAGATTCCTGGGCGATCTGTGTGCACACTGAAGTGGGAGAAACCCTGAGCTAGAGTTTCCTCCAAAATAGCAATGTAGCAGGAGGCTTCTTGAGTGGAATAGGGAGGGCCTGGGGGTGCTGAGGGGACAGTGGGGTGAGGATGACAAGTTTGAATGAGAATGAGAATGGCCTCCATAAGGGGGCTGGCTGGGACTGCTGTCTGTGTCATCTTCTGCAGAGCCAGGTGAGCCTGCCACCTTTGCCTCTGACCCCAGTGGTTCCTCCCTAGGCCATGCACTGAGGGGGTAGGAGTAAGAAAGAAGGGCTCCCCTCGCCCCCAATCCCTGTCCCTCACCTCCTCTTCCATGCCTCCTGCAGGAACCTGGATTTTGTCAACCTTATGGCCTACGACTTCCATGGCTCTTGGGAGAAGGTCACGGGACATAATAGCCCCCTCTACAAGAGGCAAGAGGAGAGTGGTGCAGCGGCCAGCCTCAACGTGGTACGTGTGGCCAGAGGGCTGAGGCAGGACTCCCCTGTCCAGCAGGCCCTGTCTGGTGGCTTCTTTTGAGCCCCAAGGCCCTCATAGGAAAAAAGACACAGGGCGCTAAGAAACCAGAAGCTTTTTCGTTTCTTTGTTTGCTTGTTTTCTTCTATTTTCCTGGTCCCTACCCCTACTGAGGGGAAACCTCACTTCTGTGGAGCATCTTGGCTGATGGTAGACACAGCAAACCAATTTGATGACAAACAAGTGACCAATGGGGAAGCCCACTTTGAGCTTGAGTCTCCAGCCAGCAGGCCTGCTGCTTCCCTCACACACCTCCACCCCATTTCCTTCAAGACAGTGGGCAGACTTGTGCTCCATGGGCACACTGGTTGACCTTCTGGAAGGCGCTTTCAGGGGTAGGAGCTTTCCCAAGTTGATAACATCTCCACGGATGTCACTAAGGATGGAAGCACCCCCAGCACCTGCAAAGGGCAGCCTTCATTTTTAGACTAGGGTAGGTTGGGATCTCCTAACTTTTCCTCATTGAGCAACCAAGACACTTTTAATTTTTAAAATTCTATTTATTCTTAAGAGATAGAGTCTTGCTCTCTCACCAAGATGGGCACGCAGTGGCATGATCATAGCTCACTGCAGCTTCATCCTCCCGGGCTTAAGCGATCCTCCTGCCCCAGCCTTCTGAGTAACTGGAATCACTATGACCAGCTAATTTTTTTTAAATTTGTAGAGATGGAGTCTTGCTATATGCCCAGGATGGTCTCAAACTCCTGCCCTCAAGCAATCCTCCTGCCTCAGCCTCCCAAAGTGTTGGAATTATAGGCATGAGCCAACATGCTCAGCCTAGGTCCTCTTTATAAGCCCTCTCTATATCTTAAAATATAGAGAGGGTTTATAAAACCCTACAGAGAGGGCTTATAATAACTATATTGTTTTTCTTTCTTAAAACAAGCAAAACCAAACAACAAAGAGAAAGCCCTAAATTAAAATGCTTTTTACTTTTGGAGAGCCCACATCTCTGTATATCAGCTGGAGTGGGACATCTTTGACTTTCTGGCTCTTTCATGAATAAAGAGCACCTCTTTTAGCCAGTGAGCCAGGCACCCACATTTCACACTGAGTCCGGCCTCTCCATCCCTGTCTGGAAGACTGTGTGAGTTTTGGAGGAAACTGTATCCCTGTGCCGGTGGGGAGACACAGAAAGAAAGACATTCAGCTGAGAGGTGAGTGGGGTTGGAGTCCCTCCAGCACCCTGCTCTCCACACTGTGTACCTTGAATCCACTGAGGAATGGAGGTTATCTTATTTCTACAAAGAGGCCTTCTACTCACCACACGATGTGCCCGGGGATTGCTTCTGGCCAGAGGGGTGACTTTTCCCAACTTGCACAAAAGTGCTATAACAGATCAGGAGAAGCCCCGACTTCTGCCTTCAGAAAGCACCAGTCTGATCAAAGATAAGTCGTATAGATGGACAAAAAGAAATATATTTAAATAAATGTAGTGAAAGCTGTTCTTTACCTAAGTGCTAAGTGGGCTCAGAGTAACTAGACCTTACAAAACTAGGGCAACTTCTGGGGGAAAGTGAACCATACTCTTGGCTTAAGGAATGAGGCTTCATTATTCATTAATTTATCACACTCATATCGGGTACCTTCTCCCGTCACGGGCCTGGGGGTGTCACATCAAGTAATACATAACCAGGGAAAGGTCTTATTCAGAGGTGGGTAAGGAAGCCTTTGTTCTATCTGAGCATCAGGTGTCATTCCAGGCACTGGGGATACAGAGATAAATAAAGCAGACTCGATTCCCTGCTTTTGTACTCAGGGTAAAACTAAGACAACAATCATGATAACAATGATGACCATAGTGACCCTTTATTGCGTTGTGCTGACCTTTTGCATGCATTATAACCTTTAATTCTCTCAATGCCCTAAGAGATGGATATTTTCCTTATTCCCATGTTACAGACAAAACACCAAGGCTCAGTGAGGTTAAATAAGCTGCTGGGAAAGGCAGGGATCTGTGTCTGCCTTGTTCACTGGTGTGTCTGAAGCACCATGGACAGCGCCTGGCACACAGTGGGCCATCAGTACACAATGATTCAGTGAATGGTTGTCTGCATCTGAAGCCCATGCTCTCTGATTATCATGCCATGCAGCTTCTTCACTGGGGTCACGGGTTTAAGGCAGGCTCTACAGAAGGTGGGGTAGGGCTGGAATACTAATGAAGGCCCTTGGGGCTCCAGTTGAGGAGCCCCTGCCCTCCTAGTTCTGTCTCTGGATCCCCCAAACTTAGAACCAGGCCAAGGGCTGAGAAAATTAACCCTGCCCTCTTCCGCCACCAGGATGCTGCTGTGCAAATGTGGCTGCAGAAGGGGACCCCTGCCAGCAAGCTGATCCTTGGCATGCCTACCTACGGACGCTCCTTCACCCTGGCCTCCCCGTCAGACACCAGAGTGGGGGCCCCAGCCACAGGGTCTGGCACTCCTGGCCCCTTCACCAAGGAAGGAGGGATATTGGCCCACTATGAGGTAGGAAAACCCATAACTACCCTGGGTACTGTGAGGGTCAGGGGGTACCTGAGAGAGCAGAGGGTTCCTTCTCCCACCGTTTCTGAGTAAGGATGCCAGGTGCAGAGAATTCTGGCCAGGTAAATTCCATACCATCCATACTGTCTTGAATTTATCCTTAAGCCCAGGTGCCTCAAGCTGAGTTCAGCGTTCTAGGTCACTGCAAAGCACATCCTGATTCTCCAGGCTTCCTCAGACAGGAATTTTCCAATCTCTAGTCTCCTCCTGGTGAGGAAGGGAAGGTGCCTGCAAGAGCCTCCCTCCTCCTCCCTAGTGCTGCCTTCTGCTCCCACAGGTCTGCTCCTGGAAGGGGGCCACCAAACAGAGAATCCAGGACCAGGAGGTGCCCTACATCTTCCGGGACAACCAGTGGGTGGGCTTTGATGATGTGGAGAGCTTCAAAACCAAGGTGAGGCCCAGCTCTGCTGGCAGGGGAGTGGTCCTGAGTGAACAAGGCCTGTCAATGACATGGAATGAGGGCAGTTCAGGACCTCAAGGGTGAGTCTCCTTTAAATGTCCCAACATTTCATAAATCTCCACGTGATCGTATTTTGTACCTTTACTACCTATTGACTCAGAAAAGACAAAATGACAAAAAATTACTCTACATTTAGTAGCACCCTGGAAAGGATTTCTAAATACTATACAAATTTTACAGACATATGAAGAGAAGAAATACACATGGTGAGGCATATAGCTTTATTCAGCCCATTGGCAATAGCTGGTGCATGTTCAAATTACAGATCTTTTGCTTTACTTATAGGACCCCCTTCTCCTGCCCAATATTGGTGGCCTGAAGAGTTAGTGCATTTACCTGGTTTCATGCCACTCTCCCCTGTGAAACTGTTAGCTCCTGAAGATGGATGCTTCACTAGTTTATCTGTACATCCCACATCAATTATCTTGTGTGGTTGACAGTGGCAGCTTCTAGAGGTGGAGAATTGCAGGCGGCCACGATCCCGGCTGGGGAGATGGGAGAAGGGGTCAGGGTGGAAGGGTGTTTCAGATAAGTCCTAAAGCATAGAAGGTGGCCATTCTTAGGGGTGAGGGAGCAGGCCACTGCACAAGCAAAGATGTGGGTGTGAAGCAAGTAGAGGCTGGACTCTGAGAACAAAGTGTAGGCCCACATAGCTGGACCCCCAAGCAGGGCAGGTAGAGGAAGGGAGCTAGCTGAAAGGGAGGCTGGGGCCAGCAAGGGATCAAGCACCGTGGCCCCCTGGCAGGGTTAGAGGACAGAGAATCCCACTCTGAGGAAACACAGTCATACCCTCAGGAAGCCTCAGGAATCTGGTGGAGGGAAGATGGCTCTCAGGGAAGACAAAGACATGAAGACAGAAGCAAGCCTTGATTGAGATCTTCTGGAACTCTGAGTTATTCCCTATGGTAACTGAACTTACCTTGACCAGCATACAGTACCCTTAAATAAAGCAGCTCAGCCCACACATGACCAAGCTGTGAAGGGTTTCCACTTAGGGAGGTGCACACATCTTCCCGGCATACCCGCCCCACCCCAGGTCATGCTTATGTTAAGACAAGGAGACTGCAAAATGACTGATGTCCAAGCAGCATGAGGACTCAGCACCCAAGCTCCCAGCCCAGTGCTGTCTCCAGAACCTGCAGCCACTCACAGGCCTGAGGCTGCTGGAGAAAAAAGGGCCCTGTCCAGATGAGGTAGCCAGACTCTGCGGCTGGCCGGGCTAAGCTTCCCCGGGCTCCTCCACTGCATCCCCTCCCTGCACAGGTCAGCTATCTGAAGCAGAAGGGACTGGGCGGGGCGATGGTCTGGGCACTGGATTTAGATGACTTTGCCGGCTTCTCCTGCGACCAGGGCCGATACCCTCTCATCCAGACGTTGCGGCGGGAACTGAGTAAGTAAGGTGCCCCAGGCCAGTGGCGGAATTTGGAGGTGGGGTATGAATACAGCTCCATGCATCCAATGAACTGTAGGTCCTGGGTCCTTCTGAGGAAATGACTTTGCCCCAATACTGTAATTTCCCAAGCTTCATGCACCCCTAGGAGCTAAGGAAACTGTCAAAACAATTTTCCTTTTTGCGCTTTCTCTTCCTGGTTGTAGCAATGCCTGCCCAGGGTGTTGTAACCGTGGCTTCCCTCCAGAGGGCCCCCAGCCTGGGAGCAGCAGCTTGTTCCTCTCTTATCTGGGAGAAAGCCTCCCCTTAGCCTGCAGTGTGTCACCCCCACCTGCCCTCAGCAGTATCTGGTTGTGCTTGCAGATGGGTAAAGACTTAACTGCCTGTCACATGTGTAGCCAGGTGTTGTCTGTGGCACTGTGCTTCAGCTGTAGGTATGGCTGTTGTCTGGCTGTTCTCTGCCTGGGGTACCTGGCTGTACTCAGCCTGTAGGGCATATGGTGCTGGGCTGCTGCCTGCCAATGGTTGCTGCCTGTGTGCTCTGCCTGTGGGTTTGGGATCTCTTAGGGGGAGCCTTGGTTGAATCTTCACTGTCTTCCCAGGTCTTCCATACGTGCCTTCAGGCACGCCAGAGCTTGAAGTTCCAACACGAGGTCAGCCCTCTGAACCTGAGCATGGCCCCAGCCCTGGACAAGACACGTTCTGCCAGGGCAAAGCTGATGGGCTCTATCCCAACCCTCGGGAACGGTCCAGCTTCTACAGCTGTGCAGGGGGGCGGCTGTTCCAGCAGAGCTGCCCGGCAGGCCTGGTGTTCAGCTCCTCCTGCAAATGCTGCACCTGGAATTGAGTCCCTAAGGCCCCTCCAGTCCCAGCTTCGAGGCTGGGCCCAGGATCACTCTACAGCCTGCCTCCTGCGGTTTCCCTGTGGGCTGCGATCTGGCTCCTGCAGGCCTCTCTGTGGTCTTCCTTTACCCAGGCTTTCTGCTCTCAGCCCTGCCTTCCTTTTTTCTGGGTCTCCTGGGCTGCCCCTTTCACTTGCAAAATAAATCTTTGGTTTGTGCCCCTCTCCCCAAAGATGTGGTGACTTAAGAGGCTCTCTAAGCACACTGTTGACTCCAAAAACATACGCAGGTCAGAGCCAGGTGGGAAGGTGGTCGGTGCAGGATGTGCCAGGCCCTGTGGCAGGTCTTGCCTCATGAGTCCATATGCCAGTGGGTGGTTTCCAGTACACAGGTGATGGCAGCCAGAGCACGGCCCCAAGTGCAACACGTTCTTTGGTTATTGGCTCAGAAGCCTGGAAACAGGAGCTTCTGCAGACCTTCACGCAGGTGTTATTCCCAAAATACCACTAGATGGCAGCAGAGAAGAACTTTTCCCTGATTTAAGTGCTCTGCGAGCAGCCACACAACATTGCAGTAAGAATTTGCACCCCTGGTACTCAGCGGTCTTCCAGATAAATCCTGTTTGGGCCCTTTGCAGGCCCTATCTCACCTACTGCCCCCGTTCACCAGATGAAGAAGGAACAATGATTATTCTCACTTTACAGGCATTTAAACTGAAGACTGATTCTAACCAATTCTGAGTCCAGAACCAAGGCCTGAAACGGGCCAGAGAGCATGCACACGGCGTCCTGGTTAGATAAAGTCATCCCAACATTCCTGGCTGCTTTGGGCTGCACCTTGATCATTCTGTTTGAAGAAAATCTGCACAAAGCCTAATGACCCAGCCTGTTATTCACTCCAAATTGGTTTCTGGGTGGGACTTGGGAAGGCAGCTGAGGATTGGGACAGGTGAGATGAGGGGGAGGCGGTTTGGCCCCCCACGTGAGTACACCCAGCACCAGAGCACCAGTGCCCTCGTCACTCCGGCAGCCTGCCTGTCCACGGGCATTCTGAAACCTGCTCTCCTCAGTCCAGAGCACAAGCTGCTGGAGCATGTGCTCTGCCCCCTGAGGTCTCAAATGAGGGATACGCCAACCACATCCCAATGAGCTGTTCAGAGTGGAGTCCAGGTGCAGGGGTGACTTCCGGCTCGCTGCACTCCAGCTGTGTGACTTCAGGCAAAGAAGCGGAGCCTCAGTCCTCTGCTGTAGGATGGGAGAACTGTGAGGAGTCAGTGAAGTCCTGCACACCTACCCTATGATCAGTGCTCATTCTCTCCCTCCCTCTTCCCTTCTCAGCCCTTCTTCATCTTCTGTGAGCTGGATATGTCAAGAATTTAGCAAATACTGTAGTCTCCTTTTAGCAGAATGCGCCCTCCTACAAGCATCCAAATAACCAAAGTCCTCCCTGAGTACACAGTCTTACACCTGCACTAGTCTTACCCTCAGGAAAGCATTAGCCACAGCCTCTCTCTGGTCTTCACATCCACCCTGCTCCTCTGCAAACTCACGGCCACTCCCTCAGCTAGAACCAGCATCACCTCATACCTGGACCCACCTTCCACCTGGCCTCCCTGCTTCCTGCCCACCCCCTCTTCCAGTCAGTCACCACACCACAGTTTAATCTTTCTAAAATAGAGAGCTAAGCCTGTCACTTCCCTTGCTGAAAAACTATCAACAGCTTCCCCTGCCCAAAGGAGAAAGTCCCCACCCATCAGCACAGTGTTGAGACCCTTTCTCAGGCCTTCGTGTCTTCTCCGGTCACATCTCCTGATATCCCCACCCCAGTTAAGTTGCTGGGTACCCCTGATGTCAGCATTAACCTCAACCATCAATGTCAGCTTCTCATGTGGGACCCCCACAGCCCTCTGTCACCCGGCTAGCTCAGGCCCACGCCATTTTCTGAATGAATCCTGCCCAGAACAAGAACAATGAGAGCTCCCTAAAAGCCATTAGTGTACAGATTGTCTCTTTTTGTTTGTTTTTGTTTTGTTTTGTTTTGTTTTTTGTTTGTTTTGTTTTTGTTTTTTGGGTTTTCTTTGTTGTTGTTGTTTGTTTTTAAGACAGAGTCTCACTCTGTTGCCCAGGTTGGAGTGCAGTGGTGCGATCTCGGCTTACTGCAACCTCTGCCTCCCAGGTTCAAGCAATTCTCCCACTTCAGCCTCCCGAGTAGCTGGGACTACAGGCATATGCCACCACACCAGGCTAATTTTTTTATTTTTAGTAGTGATGGGGTTGTTGTTGTTTGTTTGCTTGAGACAAGGTCTCTCTCTGTCACTCAGGCTGGAGTGCAGAGGCACAATCACAGCTCACTGCAGCCTTGACCTCCTGGGCTCAGGTGATCCTCCCACCTCCCAGGTAGCTGGGACTACAGGCACGCACCACTGTGCCCTGCTAAATTTTGTATTTTGTGTAGAGACAGGGTTTTGTCATGTTACCCAAGCTGGTCTCCAACTCCTGAGCTCAAGTGATCCTCCTGCCTTGGCCTCCCAAAGTGCTGGGATTACAGGCGTAAGCCACAGTGCCCAGCCAGATTGTCTCTTTTGACTCCACCTTGGCCTTGAAGCCCCATGTGGCTGGAGTCTTCCTGCTGCTGCTGAGTTTCTCAGCATACCGCGTGTCTACGCCAGGCCTAGTGTCCAGCTGGACACAGCAGGGACAAGAGCCAGGGCTTTACTTTCCTGAGGCTAACATTCTCTTGGGGGAGGCAGACAATGAACAAACATGAACATAGGACCATTTCAGGCAATAATGAGTGCTGAAAAGGAAACAAGATATGGCTAGAGAGTGAAGGATGGGGGTGAGGGGACTGCTGTGCACAGTGTGGTCAGAGAAGGCTCAGTGGAGGCCACATTTGAGATGAGATCCCAAGTCTAAGGAAGACTTGCCCATATACTTTTGAGATCCACAGTCCTCAGGGGTAAACCTGGGTGCAATTCTTCCCTGGCTGCCTTTGTTAACCCAGCTTATAGCGCAGTGTCCTGCCTTGGTCCCCTCTTCTAAATGTCCCCAAGAGGCCCTGCCTTGGCCCCATTTCTCCCCTGGCACAGGTGCCTTGTGTAGGCCCTTAGTCTGGTGGCGGTGATCACGGCCCCATGGACAGGTCCTCCAGAGCAATGACTGCTCCCCTATCCCTTATATCATCTGTCACCTCAATCCCACCTGCCTGGTGCCCTTTTATGTAGCACCGATTGAGGTCAGGGCTCCCGGCTACTGCCCCAACCTGTGGACTGTACCTTCAGAGTCAACCTTTGGTGACTGCCCCAGCCTCTGTCATGCCCTTATGCCCAGGGCATGGTCTGTCTGCGTGGTCTGGTACAACACCCTCCCTCTTCTCTGCTCTAGGTTGCTGGCAGGAAACCACCCTTGGTGTCCCATATCCAATGTGGTGACCTATATCCCAGGAGACCATCAGGAGTCTCCAAACAGGCCATGCCTTCCTCAAGCATGTCTCTACCTGTGCTTCACATCTGCCTGTGCCATCCTTCCTTTCCCCCCAGGCCACTGCCAGTCACCCTAAGATAGTCAGCTCCTGAGTTACTCCTGCAGGAAACATCCTCGGGTGCCCTGGACATCAGTGACTGCCTCCTTGCCACCCTAGACCATTGGGCCACACTGACATATGCTGCCGCCGTGATCTGTGTAGATGTTAGACTCCTCCCCTAGGTTCCGAGCTCCTAAGGTCAAGCACAATGTCTTAAGTGGTCCTCTCCAACCATGACACATGTTTGAGGCTCAGTAAATGTTGGACCATATAATTTCTGACTTTTTTTCTTCTTTCATCCTCGGGCGTAGAAATCACTTAGAGGATTTCCAGACTGAAGTGCTATTTCATGACAAGAGCACTACTCTTCCAAACCCTTCTACTGAATACCACTGACTCTTTTAATATTAGTGTCCAGCCATTAGTCCTGTCCTTCAAAGGGACAGGGGAATTAACATTTGTTGCATGACCAGAGAGCATACTAAACATGTATTAGACATCCAATAAATAGTTACTGAATGAATAGTAAGTGAATTAACCTGTGTCATTTAATCCTCACTGTACCCCTGCAAAGGACGCATCATTTTCTGTTTCCCTTGGATTATACAAGCAGTATGTGGCAAAGCTGCAATTAATTAATTAATTAATTATTGAGACAGTCTCACTCTGTCGCCCAGGCTGGAGTGCAGTGGTGCGATCTCAGCTCACTGCAGCCTCCGTCTCCTGGGTTCAAGTGATTCTTGTCCCTCAGTCTCCCAGGTAGTTGGGATTACAGGCACATGTCACCACGCCCAGCTAAAGTTTTTGATATTTTTAGTAGAGAATGGGGTTTCACTATGTTGGCCAGGCTGGTCTTGAACTCCTGACCTCAAGTGATCTGCCCACCTCAGCCTCCCAAAGTGCTAGGATTACAGGCATGAGCCACCATGCCTGGCCTAAAACTGCAATTTAGATGCCAGTCTAGATGAGACCCAGAGCCCAAGTTTGCTTTCTAGAAGACTGCTGGCTTTTCCTCCCCCAAGTTAAAATCATATGCATTTCTTTTATCTCCTCACCCTGCTATTGGTGTCTAGACCTCAGAGGTCATGAGTGTTGGACACTTCCTCTGTCTCCAGCCATACGCTAATGTTCAGGTCCATTTATCTCTGCTGTCAATCCTGTGGGATCACAGGTGCAGAAACCATGGTGTCCAAGTCAAGCCAGCAGTGGAGTCAGGGCCTGACCCAGGCCCACCCATGTCTTTGGTTGCTCTCCCTGGTGCACCCTCCTTCATGCCTCAGCTCTTGTCCTCTATAATATCTGATTTTATGGTTTACCTAAGTATCTTAATAATGATAAGATATTAAGTAATCTTAATAATGCTTAAAACAATAAGCATTGCCTGAGCATTTGCCATGTGGCTGGAGTTGTGCTAGGGTCTAAGGGAAATGCAGAAATAAACCCTGACCTCATGGTGTTTCCATTTGGTGGGACTGTTGGTATGGGTCTCCAGGATCAGCTTATCACCAAGGGTCAAAAGATCAACCCGGCTGGCGCAGTGGCTCATGCCTGTAATCCCAGCACTTTGGGAGGCTGAGGCAGGCAGATCATGAGGTCAGGAGTTCAAGATCAGCCTTACCAACATGGTGAAACCCCGTCTCTACTAAAAATACAAAAATTAGCTGGGCATGGTGGCTTGCGCCTGTAATCCCAGCTACTCAGGCTGAGGCA